ATTAATAAACTTGTCTTCGTAGGAGGAATATGAAAATCTCACTCAGCAACACTAGAAATGAGCAAGCATCATATTCTTCTATGTGCCATGTCTCTTTAGGACATTAGTGATCACAACACCCCATAATTTCCTATCCTTTGTAGATGTTAATAATTTTTTTCTTATCTCTCCTAAATTTTGTTCTGCCATCCATGTACTCACACTTGCTAGGTAGGTTTCTATTGTTTTCCTCTGTACCTTTTGCTTTTTAAAAAAAAAAAAAAAAAAAAAAAAAAAAAAGGTCATTAGTATTGTAACAGAAGGTATGATTGGCACAAGGCAATGTGAGCAAGTGTCATCTTACCATATAATGTAAATATATCTTGCTTTTTTTTAAGGAAAGAAACAAGAAAGTTATCATCTTGTGAAAATATGAATATATCTCATTTTTTTCACAGGTAATAAAGAGTAAAAGTATACCTGTTGGTCCTGATTGACAAAGAACAGCCACTTGAATTGTCTCAATGATCTATATGATTAAGTCATATCAATTGTTTTTCTTTTTTTAATTTGGTTTCCTCTGTCATGCTAGACAATTTCTCTCCCTTGATTCTATCTTACAGATTTATAAGTCGACCAATTGTCCTTGCTTTGAATGTTGCTGTCACATCTGGTCTGGTACTCTTGCTATATATTTAGAGATTTTTGATAAAATCCAAAGAAGAATCTGCAATGTTATTGGTTCTTCAGTCACTTTCCCCACCACCATAATGTAGCTTCCCTGTGCCTTTTCTATAAATTCTTTCAGAGTAATTTTTCTGATGAACTTTCTGCTATGGTACTATAAACTTTATGAATTTAAGTGCTATACTAGATTGGTGGCAAGGTCTCATCATTTTACAGTTGAAATGGCTAGATGTAACTAAGTTCTATGCTAACAATTTCTTCTAACTTCTCACTTGTGGAACTGTTCCAGCTTCTTGCTTCCTAGTCAACTTTGTTTTCAAAAATTTAAATGCAATGTCAATTGTTATCTACTGTCTTCTTAATTCTTGTTCCTTTAATGTTCCCTATTCTTAATAGTGTTTTTTCTTCTCATATTCATAAACACTCAGTAACCCCTTGTGTCTTAGTGGCTTTATTGCCTTGCTTGGGGTGAAATGCTTAAAAAAATGCCATGTCCTTTCAGGATATAGAAAATCAAAACTCTCCACATATTCCTTTTTTATTATTAGCAAATAATAATAATTAGCATTCTTGGGAAACATAGTGGAGTGGTTCCCCATTGCTTTCTTCAATTTGACATTTAGTTCGTTTTTTTTTCTTTTAGACTAGTTTGCACCCAAAACTGAGAAACAAAACCTACTCTGCTATTTAATCCATAGCTGAAGGAGAAGACACAGATTCATGCCTTTCCTAAGGGCATTAATGTGAAAGTGAATGCAACAGAGTAGCACAAAATTTGAACTCAGCTTGCTGATTTCATATCTATTATACTATCCAACTATCCATTTGGTTTATTAGCAGGTTTAATATTATATGATCTTCATTACAGATTCAAAAGAAACAAAATAATAATTAAGTATTTCATTTTATCTCATCTAATAAACAACTGTTATGAGAATATCTTAATAGAAAACATAATTAAATTTACGATGGTAATTCAAGTCAAAAGAGCCGACTTAGTGAAGCCAATAAAAATTCATTGTAAAAATATATTTTTTTAATGTTAATAACATCTGAGACATCCTTACACTGTGCTCTCATGGAGAATATAATACGATTTTAATTATAATCTGTTATTGAAGTTTTACACCAAAAAAAATTATTACTGAATATATAATTCCTTCTTGGTGCTATATTTCTATTAATTTCTAAGGCATTACATATTTTAATCTAAATTGGATACAAAAGCATGCATCATTCTTAAGCCAAATGTTTCATCTATTCTTCAGTGTTTGTGTAAATAGTTGGAAAAACAGATAGGTCACTATATTGCTCCAGGAAGTAGCTGACTCCTTCTGCCATCTCTTTATAAAAGTCAGATTCAGCCAAAAACAGAGTAAATAATGCCACATTTGGCCAAGAGCTGTTTAATCCTTAACTTTCCAGCCTTGATAAGAATTCAACATTGCATATGCAGTCTTGTGAAAGAAGAGTTATTTTCTATTCTACCTCTTTTTCAGAAAGACAGACATATAATAACTCTGTTATCACTCTATTGTTATTTCCAAAGCAAATTTTCAGATAAATCCTACCAGTTCAAACCTTTACAGCTCAGACACTCATGCTACTTCCATGGAGTCATAACTCTCTCATATCCCCAGTACTTCAAACATAGGGAGAAAGTTTCACTCAGACAGCTTTTTTTTCTAAGAACCACCACTTTATAAAACAGACTCCCATGTAGATGCTTCAAGTTAAGAATTAATTATTATCTATCTTCATAATCTTCAATTTCAACTACCTTTACTCATATTTCACACCTCATTTTCATTGCCATTTCATATGTAACCTTCTACCTTGAGTAGCTCTCGAGTCTTGTATTCGATGAAATTTATTAAAATGAAATCTTATATGAATATACCATTTTGTAATATGGCATCAATACATGAAGGGATTCAAACTGAGTAATTGACTGATTTGTTTTTTTACAACCCCTTGTAGGTTAGTTAAAGCAAAAAACATTTCAGATCATAGAAGATTGCTTACAGTACCCAGCATTCCCAAGTGGTCACTCATCTAAACACTGACTAGAGTCAAATCTGCTTAACTTCAGTGATCAAATGACAACTAGTGCTACAGAATGATTTGACTATATCAAACTGAGCAATGGCAAATCTTTAATACAAATACAGCCTGAGAAAAAGAGTGCTGTGACTTGTATTAAATGAAAAAAATCCTTTTGATTGAGTCTGACTATAATATTAATGTATTTTCCATTGTTAAAAATGCATCCTTATCTAAATCAACACTTCCAATATTGAGTTTGTATATAAAGAAAAACAAAAGAAAAAAGTGAATCTAAAAATGCTTAAATTTAGATTTCTAGGCACAACTGAAAAATATGACCTGCCAGATATGAAGGACATTTTTTTTTTTTTTTTACACTTGAAGGGATTAAAATGCTATCATGAACTTAGGAAATACTACATTACTCTTGCATCCACAACAGATGTAGTTGCTTGGTTATTTTTGTCCAATCTGTCCCTTGTTATTCCAGATCCCCATTTATTTCTGTTTTCCACTTTTCCCCCCAACCTGTTCTGCTCATTCCAACATTCTCTTGCTCCTTTTTTTTTTGTTTTGAAAAGAAATTAATTTTCAATTAATTGGAAAATTCATTGTTTTATTCCAACCTACCATTTTATTCCAGACTTAAGAGTAATCTTTGTCTTCTAAAAGCATTCTACCAGAATAAAATACCTGCTAACATATTAGGGGCAATAGATATAAAGGAATAATCTGATTCTCTGTGAGATAATCCTTCAAGTGGAGATCTGAAATTATCTAACTTTTGTGATATTTGCCAAAAAGCAAACAACATGCAATACCAAAAGTGAAGCTGAAACTCTCAAATTCTGCCCACTGTTTTAATACATGGCTGACATAATATCAAAAATAAATAATTTAAATTTCCCATACATATGAGAAATGAAGGCCTGGAAAATTTGGCACTCATAGGATATAATAAAGGTAAGAGTAACAGAGAAAACACTATGTAACTTATCTAACAAGGTTGTGTAAATGGAAGGCAGAGAAGGGACTTCAAAGGATGGTGACAAGACAAACAATACCAAGAGCTACAAAGGACAGAAAATCATGGAGAGTCATAATCACCTATATACTGAAGGGACACAACACATAAAAGATGACAAGAAACTTGAGTTTTGCTGTCACTTGGTCTCTTCTTATAACCCCAAAACATTTGATATGAATACAGAGCAAAATTAGAAGCAAAAAAAAATTGGAAAAAAAAATGTTGCTGGCACTGGAAATTCAAAATATAATCAAGACCATCCAGATAATGGCACCACTGAAAACTGCTCAAATACTGAGGGGAATGTTGATGTAGTGAGGAAACTTACAGTCACTTGATCTCCAATGTATGCCAACCCTGTGGATTTTTCTGTGAGGTCTATGGTTGCTGCAGAAATGTGCTAGAAAATTTTTTTTATCTAAAGGAGAGCCACTCATTGCACCTTCTTGGTCTCACATTTTCTACTGAAATTAAGTGGTGCGATTATATTGAATCAGTTGCTAAGAAGGTCATTTTACTGTGTCATGCTAGACAGTTTTTTTTTCAGAATCCATCTTGCATATTTATAAATCAACCTTGCTTGGTGTGAAATTATTAAAGAAAAAATAAATAAATAAAAAAAACAAGTAAAGTTTGATGGAGTGGAGTTGCTACCCTCACATCCAACTGGTTTTCAATTCTGAGTTGTCTTTCTCCTAGACCAATCACAAATCAAAGCTAGAGATCCCAGTTTACCCTACTATTAACTCATAACCACTAGTAATTATTGGTATGAAAAGTCAATGAGAAGGAATACTAAAGTTATTAGAAATGTCTTAAAGTGCTGTAATTCTATTAATATTTGGATATCAGGATCTCTCAAGTATGACAAGTTCATTTCCTATTTTGGTTTTATGCAAGTTTCAGGCTCAGTGTTACAGGAAGGAAAGCTGAAAATTTTTAAAGTCCTTTTATGTAGGCTTATCTAATTACATCAATGTTGCAACAGCTGTCCTACCATAGAAATACTTCTATATTTTCCCCAAATATGCTTTTAGTAGATGTTGGTTGATCCAAGTAAACTTCAGGGAATTTCAAACTGAAACTTTTTTTTTAATGTCCAATATGTAGATTAGTTTCACTCCACTGACCATGTTTAGGGATATCTCGTCTAGTTCTTATTTATTACTACTCAGTTACTGCTTGCCCCATTTCTATTGAGGCCAAGTATATAGTGTGGAGCCCAGGGATTGAACTCACAAATATTGCTTTCAGCCACAAGTTAAAACAGTGGTTCCCATATGATCACTGAATTTAAGCAATGTTGAGCCTGGTCAGTATGTAGATGAGTGACCACTTGGGAATACCAGGTGCTGTAAGTTTGGATGTACAGGTGGTGTAATGGATAATGGCTCAGAATTGTTAATTGGAGAGATGAGTTTCAATTCTCACTGGGTTTATTATATTTACTTACATGCAAATATACTTGGGAACTGTATGAATCTACTTCTCCCAGCTATGGGTTAATTAGTAAGACTTGTATCACAAAAACATTATAGCACCCAAAAGTATACATTATTTTGTAATGCCTGTTTGTAGGAGAGACTTTGTAAATCACAGATACAATAATAGTAATACCTTTGAACAATACTTGGTCAGACGCTGCCAATTCACATATATATATATATATATATTTTCCTTTACCCGTCAAGTGATCTAATTATTTCAAGATATGCTTGATCTTTGGCAATCCATGCCCAAACCTAAGTGTTGGCAGCAACACTTTATTTTTATATGACAATTTTCTGATCAATAAATAACCTGCAAAGGGTTGATAAGCTGTAGAAAACAATCAATCAGTTAACCCACAGTCAACACCTGCAATGACACTAACAACACCCCCAAGACCAACTAGAAAATTGACACACACACACACACACACACATGCAGTTTTCCCATTTCTTCTCACTAATATCTTCAGAAATTAAACACACACACAGACACTATCAGACTGACACAAAAATGCTCACTAAAATTCAGATGAATACATACACATTTAACACCACAAGAGAGAAACATATGAGATCTAACTGACCATTGAAAACAAACAACACAAAATTCAAAGTATGGAAAAATTCTCTTCCATAATTCATTTCTTTCAAAATTTCAATTCAGCAAAAATAAAAGCAAAACATTAAATTTATAAAAGTTTTCCTATTTATTCCTTATTTTAGTCTGTATTTGTTTCAATTAACCGAATTCAATAATGTGTGTGAGTGTGTGTGCACAGCTGAAAATGAATGAATCTATTAATCACAATTACTATATCATGAACTAACACAATGTACGAAATACAAAGAGTTAAACATCCTAACTGAATTACCAATGAAGGCCTTATCTGTATGTACAGAAATGAACATGTATGGCAAAAATAGGTTTAATACTCAGATAACAGAATGAATTTAAATTTTTCTTATCATAACCTGGTCCAGGTTTCAGATCGATATGACAATTCTTCGCAATCATGGGACCTGTAATCCATTAGGGTCATAGAGGCAACACATCTACTGCAGCTGTAGCAGAAGTGGTCTGTGTTAGGCAAGATACTTTGATGGAGCACAACCCTCTTCAAGCTGGTCTGAATTCAGAGTTTTCCTTCTCCTAGACAGGTTACCAACCCAGACTATAGGGCCCATTCTCTCCTGATATTTAATGACATCTGAGGGAGAAGAGATTTGCACATAAGTGAATATAACAAACTCAACTGAAATTTAACAATTATCACAATATAGCTAAACATAATTTTGTTTCCAGTGCCTTTATTGAGATGGAAACTCGAAGATATGTTTCTTCAATGATTTTATTATCAAAAATAGATAAAACTGGCCCACTGTATAATGAAATTAACTTTTTAAGTGAGTTAACTTCTCAGTTGGTCAAACCTCATATTCTAAAACTTTTGTTATAATGCGGTATAATAATGTAAATAATGCAGTAAAATTACTGGCTATTCCATAATAATCAATGTAAAGCCAATATTTATTGCTTATTGAATACTTGGAAAGAATTCAACAACAGATACACTACATCTTTTGTGGTTAGTCAATCATCTGTATTGTTTTTTTCTTAATCTCGCAACTGCCGTTATCAAACAAAGCAAAAGACAGTCATAAAGGCTCAATTTTCAATCATTACTTTTTCAACAAGAAATATTGCAGAAATAATTTTGAGTATGAATTATTGTTCAAAGTAGATACTGTTATTCAATATTATTGATCATAAATGATCAAGACTTGAATATTATCAATTTGAAAAATAATTTTCATGATTTATACTTGTGAGATTTTATATTTTTACTATCAATTTGAAAGTAGAAGACGACTTCTATGGTACAGGCCAGTGTGACGACTTCTATGGTACAGGCCAGTGTGACGACTTCTATGGTACAGGCCAGTGTGACAGTATAATATGACAACTTTTATTAAACAACTCAACATGACAGTATGACAACTTTTATTATACAAATCAATTATTCTATTGCTTCAAGTCTCTTAATCTTTTAGGAAATTGTCCAGCTTTCACTGTCATATAGGAGGACCAATATTACACAACTATTGAGTACTCTTGTTTCTAATGAAATTTTTCTTAGCTTTTTGATGGCATCTTTTGTTATTAATATACTCCTTAATATATCAGTGTCACACATTCCATCCTCTGTTAAAATAGTTCTCAGATATTTAAATTGTTGTACTTGTTTGATTTTAGTTTCCCAGTTTGTAATTTCCATGTTAGACTCTTTGTTTTGCTAACAACCATGAATTGTCACTTCTTGTAATTGAGGTTTAGTTCTACCTTCTGTATGATTTCTTGTAGTTTCTTTTCTACAGGATGTGATGGATAAATTGTCATCTAAATTACACAAAAATGAATATGACACTGACATCTCATATTAAAATATATTTTTTACCAAAATTACACAAAGATATCTTTAAATAAAAAAGAGTAAATTTATTCAGTAAAATCGTCAGTGGCTTCAACTATGGCCTTCAGATAATTTTGGAATTTGCAACTCTTTTGGACGGTTTCCTTGTTTAAGCTGATGAATATTGCTATAATTCTTGCCTTCAGTTTATCTTTGGTGTTACTAGTAATTTTGTTGATCTCTTGCTCAACTGCAGACACCCTCTTGACCCAGCACTAGCTGCTCAATACATTTGATGTAGATCTCCGTGTTGAGTCTGAGGCCCTCAACAACAAATTTGGGAGTTCTTTTTTTTTTTTTTATCAGAACAGTGTGAGTTTGATGAGCTGCTGTACCTTCATAATCACCATTAGACTCATCCAACTCTTTCTGAATCCTCTGCACTATACTCAGAATGACACCAAAGCACTGAAATGTGTGTATTGGAGCTTCCGACATGAATGCCAAGCAGTACAGCATGACATTTCTGAATTTCTGCCGGAATGAATTGTATCATGGTGCTCTTTTTCTTATAGATGGTGTCTAACTGACCCTACCATACTGTTGAGTCAACAAAATCAAAAACAAACAATGTGCTTGTGTGGAATTAAAAATATAAAATGGTGGCAATTTACTCATCGCATACTATATGTTTGCTATCAACACTGGGCAGGCAGTTTGCTGCTAGTATAGTTTCTGAATTATTCTAATATCCTTCCCAAATATGTCAAGGTTATTATTTACTAAGCTGACAATCTCATCAATAAATTATTTTAATATATTATTATATTTTAAGGGTTATTTTTACCAACTTATAAAAAATGGTTTACTATTCTGTACTTAAATGATAAATATGTTAAATAAAATTAAATTCCAACTTAAATAAATCAACAATGTTTCGCAGAAATTTTTAACACCAACTTTTCTGGCTAAAATTTTGAATAATGCATTCAACATTATGAATAGAAAAAATTATGAATTTTACATGAGTTTTTGAGACAGCATAAGCAAAACAAATTCACATATTTGGACAAAAAATGAAGCCTTAGAATGACAACAAAATTCACAAAAATGTTTCATCCTTTAATAGTCAGTTCTGATTATTTTAATTTGTAATGTATATAATTGTAGGCCGAAAAAAGCAAATGTTGATAAAATAGTGACAACCACAAAGCATTGCCTGGGGATCCCATTCAGGCTCCCCATTTGGTTAGAGTGTAGTATGCACTGGCCATGAGTATATCATAGATTTACTAATGCTTGTGGGAAAAGAAAAAAAAGATATTCATTCTCTCTTTGTAAGAATCCCATTAACTTATTCTTGAAACTTGAGGAAGGCTGAAGAGTGTACCAGCTGAAACATATATTTTCATAAAGTATAAAGTGACAAATGAATAAAACTAGGGAGCAGGCATGTTCTTCATAATTACCTGTCCAGGAAAGTGCACCGTCCTGGGTAAGACGTTAAACTACATCCGTGTCCTGGGTAAGATGTTAAACTACGTCTAGCAGCAAGGCCTCTAATCAGGAGGTTTTGAGGAGTGTGGAACCACCTCTTAATTGCTGGTGTTCCCAAGTTCACCCTGACCCGGAGTGGTAGCACCTGTTAGGGTCCCAGCTATAAGCAAATAGTTAACTATTACCAGCAATACTTTTTTGAAAAAAATTATTACTAGCAATACAATTTTGAAGGAAATATATTACCAGAAACAGATTTTTGACAAAACAAAATATTACCAGCAATAAAAATGTTTGTCAGCATTATTGAGGTTGATATGCCGTTAAACAAAATAAACCAAACCAATCTAAACCAAAGAATACATAATCTATTCATATGAATCTATCCTAAAAATGTTGTCGGTATTAAATAACCCATTGAGTTTGATATGCCATTAAACAAAATGAACCAAACTAAACCAGGAAACTGCAGTATATGACTGCAATCATGACAAAACACAGTCAATACATTGATTTAAAAAAAAAAAAAACATCAATGCTATCTGTAGTGCAAAATACATTTTCCACCCCAGAATTATTATATAATTTTACCTGTTCATACATTCTTTAATCAGTGCCCTGTCAATACTTAATAAATAATAGACTATTCTGTTTTGATTGAGAGAAAAGATGCAAAAGATATAGAGATGCTGTTAAGTTTCAATGAGAAAAAGAAAAAGAGATAATAATGCTCTCATGTGTTTAACATCTGCTTCAATGAAATGGGGGGGGATCCCAATTTTAAATATTTAATTTTTACTTTCTTACTTCTATAAAATAATGACCAGCATTAATACTTAGGATTGTTATTGTGATATTTGGTTAAAATAGTTAAACTCAAATATTTAACAATACAATAGTGAAATTTCAATGGAACTTCCAATGAGCTTATTTATTAAATATTATGTCAGAAAATTAAAA